GGAACATGGGCTGCCATTTTTACTCCCCTCATCCATTCCCACCCACTACCACCCACCCACGTCTCAGCCAGGACTAACTATCCTGCCAGTGCACATGAGCAGGAGGGTTGGCTGGACAAACTAACCACTGGAGAGATGATCTGGCTCTTCTCTGGTCACCTCTCCATCCATCATTCCAGCCAGCAGACAGAGGAAGCAGGATCTGGGCTGGATTTAGTCCTGAAGCCTCTACACTTGTCTGCAAGTGTGTAGACATGGTTGAGAAGCAGGACTTCCAGACACCAGGAAGGGCTATTCAGGGAGTCCACAACTCGGGATTATAGGTGTGATTGAAGAACCACTTGTTTGGTCAAGTGCTTGAGAAGAGTCACTCCAAGCAAACTTGATGGCAAAGGCCGGGAAGCAGATGCTCCACATAAAATAAATATGCCTTAGAATGTGCTTGGGGCTTATTCTTACTCAAGGAACCCAAAGAAATTGGAAGACGACTTCTTCTTTTTTTTTTTTTGTACTGAGGCTTGAACCCAGCGCACTCTACCACTGAGCCATATCCCCAGCCCTTTTTATTTTTTGTTTTGAGATAGGGTCTAAGTTGATTAAGGCCTCACTAGGTTGCTGAGACTGGCCTTAAACTTGTGATTCCTGCCTCAGCCTCCTGAGTGGCTGGGATTACAGGAGTGTGCTATCATGTCCAACTAAAGTCTTTTGATTTTCAAGAAAATATAATAGCTCCTCACGAGGACTTAGGGGTAGACTGAGGGCAGGTGGGCTGGTCTTCCTAGCAGTGGTCCATGCGCAGGGCCACACACACCTCAGCCCCATCAGATTGAGCTTCTTCCTTTTTAGGACCATTTCCATCCATTGACAGAGACTCCCATACCCCAGCATCATCTGCCCCCACTTGCTCTTAAGAAGTCCAATCAAGTTAGGCTGGTATCTTAGATAAATGGCAAAGGACAGTGGCAGAGTTTGGAGTGGCGGGGAGGACTATGGGAATAAAATAGAAACCCACTGATTTTACCATTTAAGAAAATCTGAAGATTTTCAGAGTAGTCGATTTCAGGAGCAGGTACAACTTTTAGAGATTTTGATCAGAATTAAGGTCAATCCCATTGTGAAACTTTGTCATAAAATTAATGCAAGGTGCCTCTATTTTCTCTAATCACTGTATTACAGGCTATGTTTAACAAAGCAGGAGAAGTCAAATTTCCTAGACACAGATAGCAAAATATTTTAAGGTGCTAATGATATTATTTCTGAACACATTTTTTTTTTGGACTGAATAAAGTACCTTTGATCAGAAAAATGCATTTGTCAAAACTGAAGCAAAGCTGTCCCCTGAACATTGGGCTTCTCTATTTCTGTTCTCTTAGATGATAAATTATTTTCTCACATCCCAAATACCCCAGGGCTAAAAAATGGGTTTGGGATTATTTTACCCAATAATTCTGAAACAACTCCTCAAGCTTCTTTGTAAATAAATAAGTACAAACCCCCGTTTTCCTGAGACAACTTCATTTAGCAAAGGCTAACCAAGTAGTTGATGATCTTCCTCATCCAAAGTTTTGTCACCAATTTCAGTGATGCTACCACCTAATTCACAAATTTTCTGGACTCTTAGTTCACTTACTTTGCAATGAAAGTCATTTGCAATTGACTTCCTTCTACCCCCACTTTAGCTACCCACATACTTGGGCTCTGTTCCCCTGGTTGCTTGGGGCAAGAGTTGGTGATCCATATCAATTTGTTCTACAATCCATGCAGCCCAGGTAATGGCCTAGGACCAATAACTTTCTTCTAGCCCTTATCTTCTAATTTCCTTCCAAAGTGAGAAAACTTTAGTCATCTAGAAAAACATGTTCCCTGAAGACTGAACATCTACCTTCTAGATACCTCCTTAGGTTCCTAGGAGCCCAGATTTACCTAGCCAAATGGTCAATCTTCTGGGGATGGGCCTTTGAAGATATGGATATAACTTGGATAGCTGGGATTAGGTGTCCACAGTGTTATCCAGTGTGCTGCATATATCACCTAGATGAGCTTCTGCCCTATCCTAATTTTATCTCTGTACACAGAAGCTGGAAACTCCTCTCCAGGAGAGCTAGCTTAAACCAGCTGGATCTAGGTTGCCTGCCTGAGAGACCTCCAAATGACCTCTAACTGCAGCATAATCCAATCTGTATATGAAATGCACCCCCTCCACCCCAGTGCCAGGACAGTTGACAACTGCCATGATCACACTGGAAATAACCGTAAAAAGAGCAAAAGAGGTGGCACCTGAATTCCCACCCATTCACAGAAAAGACATGAATATTCTTCCCCTTTATTAGCCTCTCTTTTCTTTTATCCTATATCCATGATTTTCCACTCTCCTCAGGTTGAAAAGCTGATCTGTGAGCCTGTCTCCTTGTTTCTCTTATTCTTTGGCCAAGAATGAGCCTTCCTGCACTGCTCACTGGATGCTCAGTGTCCTTTAGTGTTTCCATGATTCCAAGAAAGAATAAGAATCCAATTTGGGTCAAAAAATGATAACACAGGTGAATATAGGTGGAGTCAAAGGTGGAAAGAGCAAGAAGCCTAAACACACCCCATTCCTGTTTAATAAGAATGCCCAAAGCTTCCTTAACATTAACAACTTTTACCCTTACCCCAGGGAGGATTTCTTAAGATTCCAATCTTAGTGGAGGTTGGTGACATATGCCTGTATTTCCAGTTACTAAGTAGGCTGAGGCAGGAGGATCAGAAATTGGAGGGCAATCTGGGCAACTTAATGAGATCCTGCATTAAAATAAAATACAAAGGGCTGATAATGTAGCTCAGTGGAAGAGTCTTTGCCTAACATGCAAGAAGCTCTGGGTTCAATTAAAAAAAAAAAAAGATACCTATTATAGGTTTATTTCGGCTTTCTGACAGCATCCAATCCATAGCAGCACTTGAAACCTCTTCTAAATCACTTAATGTAAACCTAAGTCCTGTAAATTTTCTGTAACAAACATTTACTGAGTCATTACTGTTCTCCATGATAGGTGTTCTACTCCTTCATGAGCAAATAAACCCAATTTGACTAGAGGCATGTTCCTGGAGGCCTGATGGGTAGACAGCAACATATCAAAAGCTCTGCTACAGGGTGGACTTTCATACAGGTTGAGCATCTCTAATCCAAAAATCTAAAACCCAAGTGCTCCAAAATTTGAACCTTTTTGAAATCCAACATAATGTTCACAAAATTTGTAGGACATTTTGTATTTCAGGTTGTCAGGTTATGTTTGCTTAACTGGAAAAGTCTATGGAAATATTCTTAAGCTCAAAAAACTTCAAAAAACTGGAAACAGTCCTTTTCCTAAGCATTATGGATCAAAGATACTCAATCTGTATCACTATTTAATTAAATAGCAGTAATTGATAGTGTCATGATAAATAAAGCAAATAAAGCTAGAAATATATGTAATAATATTGATGAATCTTCTAAACAATGAGATTTTAAAAAGCAAGGCACAAAATAGTGCATCTACTGTATTAATCAATTTACACACCATGTTAAACAATTGTGGGAGCTGCAACGTTTAGGGCAGCACCTAAACTTACTTAGTGTTAAAATGTACAAAGTAGTGATCATTTCACAATTCAAGAGGGTGGTCACTTTTGAGGGTGGGGAGACCAACCACGCTGATGAGAATAGGTACATGGGGTTGTTTCTGTTTTTTATTTTTTCCATTACTGGGGATTGAACCCATGGGTACTCTACCACAGAGCTACATCTTTGGCCCACTTATTTATTTATTTATGGTACCAAGGATTGAACTCAGGGACACTCAACCACTGAGCCACATCCCCAGCCCTCTTTTGTATTTTATTTAGAGACAGGGCCTCACTGATTTGCTTAGCACCTTGCCCTAGCTAAAGCTGGCTTTGAACTCCTAATCCTCCTGTCTCAGACTCCCTAGCTACTGGGATTATAGGCATGTACCACAATGCCTGGTTTACTTATCTATTTTTTGAGACAGGTCTTAAGTTTCCCAGGCTGGTTTCAAATTTGCCATCCTTCTGCCTCAGCATCCTGAGTCCCTGGAATTACAGGAGTATGATAACACACCTGAGTTAGATGGTAGTTACATGCATATACACTTTATATTCATTAATTAAACTGTAGAAATAAGTTGTATGAAAACTTTGCTATACATGTTTCATAACAGTAAATGTAATTCCAGCTGGGCACAGTGGCTCACACCTGTAATCCCGGCAACTCAGGAGGCTAAGGCAGGAGGATCACAAGTTCAAAGCCTGACTCAGCAATTTAGCAAGGCCCTAAGCAATTTAGTAGACCCTGTCTCAAAAAAAAAAAAAAAAAAAAAAAAAAGAAAGAAAGAAAGAAAGGAAAAAAAAAGAAAGAAAAGAAAAATGTGCTGGGAATGTGGCTCAGTGATGAAGTGCTGCTGGGTTCAATCCCCAGTGCCAATAAATAAATAAACAAATAAAATAAAGTGTGATAAAGAAATACTAATGCCAAATATGGCCATAAAAAAAGATTTTTTTTTCTTTTTTTTTTTTTGCATTATAAAACTGTTACCAGAACCAGGCGTGGTGGCACATGCATATAATCCCAGAACTGGTAGGCTAAAACAGGAAGATCACAATCCAGGCTCCAGGCCAGCCTTGGTAACCTACTGAGACCTTCAACAGTTTAGTGGGACCTTGTTTCAAAAACAAAACAAAATAAAACAAAATGGCTGGTGATGTAGCTCAGTGGTAGATCTCTGATTTCAATCCCCAATACCAAAAAAAAAAAAAAAAAAAAAGAGTTTCCTTAGAGTTTGACTAGCGTGCATCCATTCACCTGATGCCAATTAACCCTGGATAAACTGCTTAATTTTAATCTGTGATATTATAAAGATGCCTACGGACGTTATTGTGATTACTGGGACTTTCTACCTGAGGAAGTTTTCTCCAAAAGGAGTCAGGTCTCCCCGGCTCCCTTTGTAAGCCACACACATCCACTCTACCTTGAAGGATATTTCGGTCGTCATGGTGAATCCGTGGGTGATGACGGGTTCTTCTTCTGCAGTCCTTCCCTTCCAGCAGTCCAGCTCCACACAGCGACAACCAGACAGAAGCACTTGGCGATACATCTCCACAGAGGAGTTTCCAGCCAGCTGGCCAGCTGTAACACACCAACAAAACAAACCCCAGAATCTCATGAATCAAGCAAGATAGTGAGTGGCTTCCTAGAAAGGCTCTCTTAACAGTTGGAAAACAAAGTGTTTAGGAGCTGTAGCAGCTGGGTGCCAGTGGCAGACGCCTGTCACCCCAGCAAATCAGGAGGTTGTGGCAGGAGGATTACAAGTTCAAGGCCAAACTGGACAACTCAGCAAGACTGTTCAAGAGGGAAAAAGAAATTAAAAGGGGGTGGGGATGTGGTTTAGAGGTAGACTACTATCTTAACGTGTGCATGTGCGAGGCCCTGAGTTCAGTCCCACTATCACACAGAAAAAGAAAAGCTGGAACAGTTGTTCTCAGCCTCTCTTCTGCCTTAACATACCAGGGAGCTGAGTACAATCAAGGATCCCTAGCACTGGGTTGGGTGAAGAGAGAATAGAGAGAGTACAGAGAGGAGGGCATCATAACAATAACAAGGAGGAGCTTATCATGTGTCAATAACAGGTCTTTGGACCTTAAATGTATCAAATATTTAATCTTTAAAAAAATGTTCATTATTTTATTTAAAATATAAAACAGCACAAAGTAGTTCAATTGCCCGAGTTTCCAAAGCTGGAAAATAAAAAAAAATACAGAATTCTGTTCATGGAACAGAAGATACTGCTCCCTTAGTTGATCTATAGAACTCACTTCTTATCAAAATCCCACTGGCATTTTCTTTTCTTTTCTTTTTCTGCATGTCAGGGATTGAACCCAGGGCTATCCACATGCTACCAGTGAGCTATATCCCTAGCCCCCCACTCTGCTTTTTATCTTTTTTTTTCAGAAGTTGACAAGCTGATTCAAAACTTCATGTTAATCAAATAATTTTGAAAATTTTTAACAAAGTTAGAATCATACTTTTCAACTTAAAAATTGACTACAAACCTGTAGAAAGCAACTGTCCTATCATAAGGATAGATACAACGGAATAGAATTGAGAGTCCTGCAGAGTGCAATGGCGCAGGCCTGAAATCTCAGTGCCTTGGGAGGCTGAGGAAGGAGATCTTGAGTTCAAAGCCAGCCTCAGCAACAGCAAGGTCCTATGCAACTCAGTGAGACCCTGTCTCTAAATAAAATACAAAATAGGGCTGGGGATGTGGCTCGGTGGTCGAGTTCCTCAGTATCAAAAAAAAAAAAAAAAATTGGGAGTCCTAAACAAACCTCCATTATATGGTCACCTGGCTTTCAAAAGAGTTGATAGACAAGTGAAAGCAGAAAAGAATAGTCTTTTCAATGATTGGCCTGGGCAGGATAACTGGACAGCCACATGCAAAGAATGAAGCTGGATCTCTATTTCAAACTATAAACAACAAATCGAATGGGTCAAATTCCAAAAATGTGAGAGCTAAAAACCATAAAACTCCTAGGTGGAGGTGAATCCACATAATTGGATGCAGCAGGGATTTTGTAGATATGACAACAATAGCACAAAGGAACAAAAGGAAAAATAGGTAAATTTCATCAGAGTTAAGAGGTTCTGTGAACACAACTGAAATACCCATGTGAAGTTATGAGAATCATAACAATCAAGGCACCTGAGGTCTATGGGCTGGAATACAGAGGGCAGACAAACTACTTCTTTTTCACTTAAGAAATCAAAGGTTTCTTCCAAAGATGGAATGTTCTCTCTGATAAGTGGATGCTAATCCATAATTGGGGTGGGGCATGGGAAAAATGGAAGAACTGTGATTGGGCAAAGGGGAGGGGAAGGGACAGGAGGGGCATGGGGGCAGGAAAGATGGGGAATGAGATGGACATCATTACCCTAGATACCTGTATAACTGCACATATGGTGTGACGCTATATGGGATACAACCAGGGAAATGAAAAGTTGTGCTGCAATTTTGTACAATGAATCAAAATGCATTCTGCTGTCATATATACCTAATTAGAATAAATAAATAAAATTTTTAAAAAAGAAATGAACAGTTTTCTTAATGCCACTATAAATTGTTTTTAAAAGATTAATAATAAATAACTTTTGAGGCAACACATTACCAAACAAATTGAAGTCTTTGGTTTTCCCTATTAAAGTGTTTTTTTTAAAAAAAATTCATACTCTATAAGATTCCTTCATGTCTTTTTTTTTTTATTAGCCAGTTGACTCATGACATGTTGATGAAAACTGTCAAAATGACTTTGAAATGGACAATATTGGCTCTGTGGAGACTCATAAGAGAAAGAAAATAACATTAAGTCTACTGGTTAATTTTGGTTTTATATGCATGTCACAACACTCAACTATCAGCATAACAAAAGGATGACATTCTTGAGTTCTATAGAGCCCTGGTAAATGAGCTGAAGACTGATGAAGTAGGTTTCGGAATCACTTCTAAGAAAAAACAATTAGGGCATTGTAAATGCACAGTGTATTTGCAAAACAGAAATGCTGACAAAACAACCTAGAAAGTTCGCCAATGCTAGATAATCCATTTGCTATTTACAATTGTCCTGAAGTTTATTGTCATTGCAAAAATGTACAGATGTCTTTTCTGCATCAAGGGGCAAGGGAACAATGGAACCAAAAGGGAAAAGATTATGTTATTTCTAAACTTCAGGGAGGGCTATCCTAACTAAAGAAAGTGAGGAAGTTAAATAATTACCAAGTTAACACTTTAAAAATGTTTGTGCCTGCAAAAAACTGCACTGGTATTAAAAAATAGAGCAGATGTTTTTTGAATGTATGCTGTCCAGGAAAAGGTTATTACTAACCTTGTAATCCAACACTGCTACACATGGTGCAATTTCTGATTCTATTTTATTTAGCCTTCATTGAATGGTAGGGAAGTTGTCATGGATTTAGAAGCTAAATTAGAGTAAATGGTATATCAAAGTAGATAAAGACCTAACCAATACTAGAATGTTCTGTCAAGAGTTTCTGGAAACAATTATTTGGGTTTGCTTGCAAATTTCTTTCTTTTTTTGTTTTGACATTTAAACAATAATCAGAAGAAATTTGATATACACTTTGATGGCTGAACAGTCAATATTTTGAAAGGCATGGTAAAGTATGGGGTTGGGTTTGTGAAATGCAAAAAACATCTAAAAAATCTAGTACGTGTGTGTGTGTGTGTGTGTGTGTTGTCCAACATGTAAAACTAACAGAATCCCTCAAAGATAAACTTGTTGACCATTCTTATTTTTTTTAAATACTCTTAAATTTCTGTTTGTGTGCATATTTGATCATTGCTTCTTTGTAGGCAAAATTTTCAGAAATTGAATTATTCATCCAATATTTTTCTGCCTCTTAAGGACTTTGAACATACATTGCCAAGCAACTCTCTAGGATTGATCTTGATTATTGGGTCTTTTAGTCCTTATGTTCTCTTCACTGGCCCAAAATTAATTCAGTTAGTTAGGTAATCCTTTTGATCATTCTTAAAATTAATAATTTTTTATTAGAAATGGAAGTCTACAAAAGAAAGCCTATTTTAGGAAGACCCATATTTATCCAGAATTTTCCCGTTCCTTGAAATGTACATAAAGTTCCCTGTATGTTTAATTTCATTAAGGAGATTTTTTTTTAATATAAGTACTAACAATCTCCATTATTTCTTTTCTGCCTAAAGACTCAAAAGTGGCTTTACTTTTCTTTCCTAAAATTCTTAGCTTCTCTTTATTACATCCCAATCCACTGACTATATTTCCATTTGACTTGATTCAATAAATGTAGCTTCTGGGGCCAGGGATTGCCAAGAGGTTGGGACTGTGATGTGTCATGAGTCATTCAACCCTTGGTATTTCTGAAACTTGCATTTGACATCATCTCTGCCTGGCTGTGAACACCCTCTGGAATACATTCCAAATCCATGATTGAACTTGGAACTGAAGCTCCATCTCAGATTAATTCCTATTACTGCCTCCAGTCACAGCTCTGTGACTTCTCACTTGACTACACTCATTTTTGGTAGCTGGTTACATTCACTAGAGCTTTGTCTCAGATTACCAGAGGCATCCAGTGAGAGAAAAGACCAGGAAATTGGAAATAACAATTTCTGTATTAACAAAGCCTTCTGAGAAATTTCTTATCTTGCAAGGGCTAATGAATAATTGCCTACATTCATGTTTATCAACAGTTGCTGTCTTCTTTTCAACCTCCAGGGTAAGAAAGTTGAGAATGTGAGGTATTTGTTAACTCAGTGGCCTTTTTCAATATACATTGTCTCCTTCAATAATGGGAGATGAGGACTATTTCTCCTTGCTTTCCATTCTGTGACAATTATATAATCTCACAGCTACACCTATGGAAGCAGTTCAAAATATGAGAGTGTGTTGTTTCTCTTGACCAATTCTAGAGGCATCATTTTGATCTAGACTCTCCCTTCCATAGTATCGGCCCCAGAGAACACGTGAAAATTTCTTGAACATAGATTCAACTGTTAGGTGATGCCTTAGTTGAGAAAGTGGGGAAGGGTCTAAATCCATTCCCACTCTTGAGAAAACAACGTTAAGCATGTATCTTACTGATCACGGGATGGTCCCATACAAACATATATATCCCCAAACACATTTTTTGTGGGAGGCAAAATACAGGTTTCTGGGATATAAAAATGACATGAAAAAATAAAAATGACATGAGACGTCATCCTTACCTCAGCATCTAGGAAGGGAGGCAAGTAAAAATAAAACAGCAGGTTTTTATTTAGCAGTTCAAACTCTCATCCTGATTATACACTTCTGGCCATCCTTTCTTTCTCTTATTTATTTTTCCTTTTTTTACTAATTGATTATCCTATTTAGGATCTGATCAATGCTAAATTTATCTCTCCCATTCATGGAGTAAATCAAGAATCTTCTGAGGCGGTCATGGAACTTCCATGGCTCATGGTAGTGACTAAAGCAGTTTTTGCTCTGTGGTATAATTCTGGAGAATATATAATAGGGCATCAAGGAAAGAATACTAGGTGGGGGTGCAGGAGAGGTGTTTAAGAACCTCCAGGGATACTTTTCTTAATCTTAGGG